AGAGTGGTTCTACTTTTGTCTTCTGGGTGCCTATAGAGGCCTGCAGAGAAGGGGAGGGTTGGGGCCTCCACTGCACTGAGTCTCCCAAAGCGAAAAGTGTGTCCGCTGAGGGGCTCTGCCTCCTTCCTTGCCATCTCTCTCTTTTCTCTCCATCTCTCTTTCTAACTCTGTCTCTGAGGGCAGAGACTTGAGCTCCAGAGTCGGGGAGTCTGAGTGTTTCTTCAAGGCTGGACTGGTCACTCACTTTTTGGTGTTGAGGTAAGATAGAAGAAATAAGAAATAGAAAAGATACATAAACAAGGAAATAAGATTCTAATTCAAAAGCTCCTCATACTTTTCAAGCCTGTTACTCTCCAAGCCAGACCCTTTCCCAGGCCTGTGACTTCAAAATTCCTTGGAAATCTGTAAATCTACCTGTGCAGTGTTGATTACCCTCTCCCACAACAAATAAAGACAGATGCAATAATTTAGGGGACTTTCCAGCACTATCTAGTGATCAGATAAGGAAGACCACAGTATCCTAAGGACCGAGATGGACCAGATCATCATGAACTGATCACCAGACGTAACAAACGGGCACCATTCCTACATGCCTTCCCATACACACCCTCAGGTCTCCTTTTGAAGAAGAGCCGAGACCCCCCAAAGGCATCTCTCACTCTCAAGATGGAAGGCCAAGAGCTAGTGCCCGTGTGCCTCTTTCTCACCCAGGACGATTCCTTCTTCAGGGTTCAAAACCATCTGCCCCACGAAGGGCTTGAATCCACATTGCCAACACTGGGATACCTTTGACATCTGCAGGGCAGATAGCACTACCAGCCCCTCACATCTGGGAGCCCTCTGGGGAGCTCTCCGTGCCCGTGTCCGTTCGTGCTTCCAGCACGGGAAGGTGACTCGGGTCTGGCTGAGTCTGGAGGGATGCGAACGCACTGAAGAACTTCCGTAGAACGGGTTCTGGTTCTGGGAGGCAGAAGTTTAGGCGGGGCAGCTGGAAGGCACAGGCTACGCCCCAGCCCCAGAGGGGAGAGTGTGGAAAAACTGTCCCCCCCCCCTCCCCGTGGACGCCCCACCTATGCATGCTGGCCACTAGGCGTTCCAGTGGGGCCCTCTGTGGGCCGCGTCTCGGCTTTGCGGTCTCTGTGTGGGCGTCTCTCAGTTCCCATAGGGTCAGGGACCCAGCAGGCCTTGCAGCACACAGCTGCTGACCCGCCCCTTCCCAAGGGCGGCCACGAGAGGGGCCCACAAATTGCCTCATCAGGGACAACCAGATAAATTAGGTCAGGCCCACTTGTTACACACACACACACACACACGTATATAATTTATTTTTTAGTTGTCGTTGTCAATACCTTTATTCTATTTATTTATTTTTATGTGGTGCTGAGGATCAACCCAGGGCCTTGCATGTGCTAGGCGAGGCTGTACCGCTGAGCCGCCACCCCAGCCCCCATTTGTTATCTTTGATATCAAAAAAGAAGAAAGTGACGTCCAGAGTGCGTTTTTGTGTTTTCGCAGTTTCCAGCCCGGGCACCTGGTACCGGCATTAGCTTCCTGCCTTCTGGTTTCCGCACCCTCCTCGCACTCCTCTCCCAGAGCAGACTGCCCCGCCCACCCTAGGCAGCTTTTCAGGAGGTGAGCTGACCCGCGGCGCTGGCCGGCGCTTCTGGGGCGGGTCCTGGCTGAGGGACTTAGGCGGTGCTGGGTGAGGAAGACCAGCGGTAACGTTCCGCTTCGCTTTCCACCAGGCAAAACTGCGGGTCAGGGGCGGCCCTGCGAGTTCTTACCGCAGAAAGGCTCAGCACCGAGGCGGAGTCCTCCTGCAGGTCAGCGGAGGTCAGCGGAGGCCACACCTTCCACTCCACGCTCAAATCTGAGAGCTGATGTCGCCTGGAAGGGCTGAGCTCTGCCAGGCTGCGGGCGGGGCAGGTCTCCATGTCTCCGAGGACTTCGACATTAATTACCACCGTGACTGCTTTCTGTGTCTCACTATTTTCCTGGCACTTTTAGCCATCTAACATGGAGCTAAAGAAGGCTCCCGCCCGCATCCCTCCAGATGTCCCAACTCTGTGGTGGCAGGGATAAGCGTGACAATCAGGAAGGCCAAGCTAGAGCTGGGAGACTTCCTAGGGCTTGGTCTGACATCACTCCCAGCAGTGATAATTATAAGGCTCCTTTCCTCCCGCTCTCCACGCCCCCAACAAGACAACATGGAGCACTTATAAATAGGAGCTCCAGGGGGCACTTCTGGGAAGGCCGGCAGGGGTGGACAGCGCACTCTCAGGGATAATGCGAGGCAGGAAGCACAGGGAGGGCGGGGCAGAGGTGATGCACAAGCCTGTGCATTGCAAGTGCTCTGCGAGGTGATGTGGGATGTCAGCTGCCAGCCTGGGGTGGGGGCTGCCCTGCTGCAGGTTCAGAGTGTGGAGATGAGATAGAGTGAAGCAGATGGGATTGTCTTGTGTGTCAAGGGCGGGGCCATGAGATGATCTGCATTTTTTCTTCCCAGGGTTGGCAGGAACTGGAAATAATTGAAAGTTGTTAGGGTCCAACTCGCTGCCCTGAAAACACTATCATTACTCTTCTAATGACTAACTGTGCCTTCCAGGAGGCAATGCAGGCAGCTGAGAAGCCTGGCTCCTGGAAGGTGGGAGTGGGAGGCTGGCAGCCTGTAATCTCCGGGCATAAGAGTACTCTGCCCAGAGTCCCACCCCAGCTCCAGCCTCCAGAGGAACACCCCCAGGGTCCCTCTAGCCCTTCTGCATGCAGAGTCCTGGGGAGGCTGACAGCAGGGACATGGGATCAGGTGCTGTGAACCCTTGCGACCTGGGCTTGAATGAGGTTGGGAGTGGGGGTCCCTGGCCCCAAGTCCTGTGGGAGGGGTCTACCTCAGACCTCTCTTGTTCATTTATCCCAAGGTCCTGGTTCTCAGCATCCTTTCCCAGCATTCCTGGTGACCCTCCACCAGGCCTCCCTCTCCTCCTTTGTCCTCCTCCCTACCATTGGAAGGGTTTTCCTAAAGCACAGGATCGGAAATCTACCCACATGTACATCCGGGTTCTCCAGGCAGGAGCCTCAGGGACACCTTCTTTTCAACCCCTACTCAGATCCTTTCTTTTTTTTAAAGTTTGTCTTTGAATTACTCTGGTGACATTTAAAGATAAAGGAGAATATACTTTTCTTACCCATCCCACCCTGTAACTGTGGCCTGTATCTCTTGTGGAATACAGAACTTTGTCCCTGCCAGTGGATTCCACAGACACCTGTCCTTGAGCCCTACCTGTTTCTTGATGTGCCCATGGGCTCAGGAACCATAATGAGGTTCAGGTCTATGAGGCTCTTCATGTATTTGAAAGAAGAGAACTTTAAAGTGCTGTGACAGGCAGGAGTGGCAGGCAAGCTTCAAAGGCCCTCTTACTCCTCGGGGAGGGAGGGAGTGCAGCAGGGGGTCCTAGGCCTTTAAGGCACAGTATTGTCCTCATGGGTGGCCTGAAGTGTCTGAGGTCTCTGGTCTGGATGATAGCTTTGTTTGTTCAGTTTGAATGCCACCACCTCCTGCCTCTGCCCACCTGTTCCCTGCTCACAAAGGCCTAGAGGTAACAGAGAGGCCACCCATCTTCCCACAGAGATGGCTGGGAAATGCTCCTGCCCCTTCTCTCAGGCAACTTTGCCAATGGGCACTCTGTTAAAGCTACCGTGGAGGAAAAAGTCTGGCACCCAAGCCTCTTCCCACAAGGCCTGCGGCCTGGGCTTTTGGGGACTTGGGTACTAAGTCCCCAACCTCCTGGAGACTTTAGTGTCTGGCCCTTCTCCTTGCCAAAGACCTCAGGAAGGCAGTAAGGCAGGACCCTTGGCTCCAGGGAATGAGGATGCAGCAAAAAGCAGGTCTCTGAACCACACCCGACCCTCTGCCCAAGGCAATAGTGTCTGCTTTTTCCCTTTGGTGCTGCTCTGGAAGCAATATGCATGTGCTAATAATAGGCCAGGATCACAAATGAGACACTGAGAGAGTTCAGTTTGACGAAAATGACCATAATAGAAACAAAACAAAGCAAAACGCAGCCAAGGAAGAGTGGACAAAGACTCCTGAAATAAAAAGTACTAAAACATTCCGTTCCCTGAAGACGGCCAAGGCAGCCAACTCTTCAGACAGCTTCAGCCACCTATGGACAGGTATGCTGGCCCAGGCATCTGCGAGCAGCATGCCAAAGTTCAGCCCTTAGTCTGGGCCGAGCAGGGGTGTAGAGGTCGCGTGCGCAGGAAAGGATACCCGGGGAGGGGGCTAGGGTCCCGGACACGATCAGCGGGGTACCCAAGGCCGCGCATCCAACTGACCGCCGCAGGACCCTGGCCCAAGGAGCTCAGAGGCTGCAGCCTGAGCCAGCAGCGCGCCTGAAACCCGCGGGGATTTGGAGGTGAGGCCGCGGGGACTACCCTGGGAACCCGCACCGAGCGGCCTCTTGGTATCCACTCGTCGCCCTCTAGACCACGTGTGGCCCCGCCCCCAATCCCAGGCCCGTGCATGGGGGGGGGGACCCAGGTTGCAGCTCCTGCCCCACCCCACCTAGGCCGCCCACGTCTTGTAGAGGTCGGCCACCGGCCGCGCCCTTGTCGCCCCGCCCAGGCCCCTCCCCGTTATGGTCCCACCCCTTCCCTCCTTCCCTCTATGGCTTCGCTCCGCCTCTGTGTTGGGCCCTGCCCCAGAATGGCTCCGCCCCCGACCGCCATTGGGTTGGATTTCCCTTAATCCCCGGGCCCCGCCCCCGCCCCCGCCCCGGACGCTAGTTGGCTTCGTGTTGGAGAGGTTCCCGGGCGCGGATTGGCCGCCCTGCTCGCCGTCCCGCCGTCCGATTGGCCCGCGTTGCCCGCTTTCGCGAGCCCTGCCTCTGGAAGGGGGAGGGGCCAGGGGCAGCGTGCGACTCGGGATTGGTCGACGGCGAGGGGAGGGCGGGCCCGAGCCGCGCGCAACGCTCGGGCTGGAGCGCGAGGAGCCGCTGCCGCCGCCTCAGCCCTGAGGAGCCCTCACCCTCCGCGCCTAGGTGGCCGCTCGGTCTCCACAGGCTCCGCGCCAAGCGAGGTCCTCTGCTTCAGCCCTGCCCGGCCGCCGCGTCCGCCCCGCCCGATCTCCGCCGCTGGCCGGTGGCTTCGCCGCCCGCCGCGGGACAGGTGAGTGAGGGGCCGGGGCCGGGGCCGGGGCACAGCGCACTCCGCGTCCCGGGAGGACGAGCCCCGCCAGTGGCCGAGGACCCTGAGGCCCGCGGCCCGCCAACTTCCCCCGGGCCGGGGCGGGCAGGGCCCCTGGCGCCCGTTGAGGGTCCCAGGCTGAGCAGGGTCCCGGGGCGTGGGCCCGGGCCCAGGGGCGGTCCCAGGTGGTGGGCGAGAGCCCGGGGCCGAACTGGGGCTCCGCGTGGCGGGCGGAATCCGGTGGAGCCGGGGTCCGGGCGCGGGACCTGGGTGGGGACCCCGGGCCCGGACGGGTCCTGGACGGAGGTCCACGACGGGGCGGGGTCCTGGACTGGGCTCCCGGGGCCGGACGGGTCCTGCGCGGAGGTCCGGGCGCGGGGCTGGAGTCCTGCCGATGGCGGGTCCCAAGCCCGTGCGGGTGCGGGCAGGATCCGGGGCCGGGCGTGTCCTGGGCGGCCCCCGGCAGAGCGCGGGTCCTGAGCGCGTGTCGGTCCCGGGGGTCCCGTTCGGTCTGGGCCCGGGCCCGGCAGGGGTCCTGCGGTGACTGGCTCTAGCTGGCGCCCCGTGTCGGGGAGCGAGCGGACCTGGCTGCCCTGCCTCCTGTCCTTTCCCCCAGTTGGGAAGTTGTCAGCGGTAAGGCTCCTCGCTGCGGATCATTGACCAGGGCTGGGTCGTCGCCCTGGACTTGGGAGGCCTTAGTTTCAAAACCGCACAAATGTTTTTTTGAAGAGATTTCAGGAAAAACCCCGGACGGGTGGGTGGATGCAGGGCGTGGGGTGCAGTCTCCCGGCCACCAACAGCTGCCTTTTTACTTCTCCTGACCCCCTCCTTTCTTTCCTCTTTCTGGTGGCCCTCCTAAGGAAGAGGTAGATGTGATGCAGGTTCCTCTTTTTGTGTCACTGTACTTTCTTTTCTGGCAGAGAGGACCTTTTTCTTATTGTCCCTACAAGTGTTTACTGAAGTGTTTTCTTTTTCTTTTTTGCTTAGTATTTTCCAATTTTTTTTCCCTACATTGTCAGTATGTTTCTTCTTTAGGAGATTGGAAAAGTTGACCAAAGCTGGGACCTTCCCTCATGATCATGGACTTGAAGGTCTACTTCAGTCTGTATATGAGCCAATAGCGCTGTTGGTTAATGAGGATTTATAGTGTGTGGTGCCCCAAAAGGAACTGTGGATGCAGAGCCTTGCAGAACAGCCCTTTGAATCTAGATAGGTGACATACAATCCCTCCATTCCAAGCCAATCCTCTGTTTTGGGCCTTCACTATGCCTCTGAAACTGAACTTGCCTCCTGAAGCAAACCGTTGCCCCTTCCTCTTCTTTGGACTTACTCATAAGAGGTGTGCAGCGGTGCTTCCTTGTTGAGAACTAACTGCCAACCTTCTCATCTGCAAGAACAATTAATCAACTAAGAACATCTCAGAGAAATGTAGATTCTAGAAGTGTTTGCAAAATTGTGCACTCTGGAGGATCATTGTTCATGAGAGGGGCTGGAGAAGCTTGGGACAGTGTCTCCAGACATGAGATCCGTCGAGGGGGGAGGGCGGTTTCCAGACACAAGTGCAGTCATGGACTACTGAGTGATCCACTTTGAGTAGTGTCCTTTTCACTTGTGTGTAGACTCTGTTGTTATACAGTGTAAATTCAGTACTCATGTTTTGGAATATATAAAACTTTATAAACTTAGTCAATTTATGCTCAATATTAAAGATTTGAAAGAGTTTTGATGGCAAATGGGATCTTTATAACTGAAAGATTGGAAGGCCATTCTCAGCTTTCAGTGCCAGTGTCAGACTCTCACAGGCCCTGTATGAGCCCACTGTCCATGGTGCTGAATCGGTGTCTTCTATTTCTTCCTCTCACCCCTTCCTTTCCAGTGTGAAATTGATTATTGGAGTATGTTTTAAAATTAATTTCAGATTTCACATTTTAAAAGAAAAGTCAAACAGGAAAGTTCTGCTGAACCTGAATGGGAGAATGCCTTTAAAACGCTCAAACCATATCATTCTCTCTTTCTCTATTTAAAAAAAAAAAAAAAAAAAAAAGCTGATAATCGTGCTGACTCAGCATTCTCTTTCTTTTGCTTAGTCTTTCTTCTCTCCAGGGGGAGTTTTCTTGCTTAAGTATGAACATCAAGTAACAAGCCATTGAAATTAAATGAGACTGTTTTCTTAATAACCACCTTCTAACAAAAAGAACCCTTTATTGCAGTATGCATGTATATTTGTGTGCATGGGGCAATTTGTCTCCCTAAAAAGTACCATTTGTTCCACCCTCACATCTCCAGCCTTTTCAGGAGAGGGCTGAGTATGTGGTGGCTTATTGGTGGTTGCCAGACATTTCTGCTGTTAGAGCAGTGTCAGTTCTTTTGTATAATTTTAAGGAATGTAAATAATTTCTGATAAATACTTTATTACTCATGGGGTTAATTTTATCAGTTAGTTTAGAATGGCCCCACAGGTTAGCAATAGAAATGGTGTTGCTTGTGGTACAGAGATTCTTCCACATGATAGTGGATTTCATATTAAGCCAAGTAGTAGGTGATTGAAGTATTATTGGTATGATTATCTAAACTAATTCATATTAAGCCAAGAAGTGGGTGATTGAAGTGTTATTGGTATGATTATCTGAACTAATTCCTTGGCCCTACTTGCTGTACACTTAGTCTAGTTTAATTGTAACATCTTTTTTATTGAGGAAACTCAGCAAAATGTCATTTAGGATTCAGGAACACTCTGGGTGTCTCCTTTGCTAGTTGCTGTGACATGGGAACCCCAGGGAATGAGGCCTGGTTCTTGTCATTGAAGGGCTCACCAGTTGGACTGAGAGGGGCTTGAAAACAGATGGTTTCAGGGGCACAAAGTGCTGCAGTTGGGATATACAGAAAGTCCAGTGAGAGTGTTGGGGCTTTCAGTGATTAGACTGGGGATCTCCTTCAGAGAGGAGGCAACTGTTGGGATGAGCCCTAGAGGATGAGTTATAATTGTGCACAGATATATAAAAATTGATTAGATAAAGATGAGAAGATTGTTGTACTTGGGGAACAGAATGTGTGGTGGTACAGATGCTGGAGGTGTGAGTGGAGGTGTGAAGGAGTTGGAACCCTGTAGGGATGAGGGGGGAAAGTGGAGCAAGAATTGTCTGTAGGTAGAGTGATGGTGTTCTAAGGCCGTCCACATCCTAATCCTCAGAAAATGTGATGTGTCAGTTACTTGGCAAGGGAAGTTAAGATAGTAGATGGAATCAGATTGCTCACCAGATGATTTTAAATAGGGAGATGATCTTGGGATCCTTGATTGTCTGGATGGGCTCACTAATCACAAGGGTCATTAAATGTGGAAGAGGGAGGCAGAAGTGTCACTGTCAGAGTGATATGAAGGGAGGATTTTGGTTGTCTTTGCTGGCTTTGAGAGTGGAAGGGGATCATGAGACAAGAAATGTGTATAGCATCTGGAAAAGGCAAGAAGATGGATTCTCTCCTAGAGTCTCCAGAACTGCAAGATGAATATGTGTTGTGTTAAGTCATTAAGTTTGTGGAAATGAGTTCCAGCAGCAGTAGGAAACTGGTACACACTGGAATTCTGCTCTGTGCAGTCCTGGCTGGAAAGTTTGAGGAGGAAATAACACAATCAAATTGACTTTATTTTTTTTTATTTTATTTTTTTTAATATTTATTTTTAGTTCTCGGCGGACACAACATCTTTGTTGGTATGTGGTGCTGAGGATCGAACCCGGGTCGCACGCATGCCAGGCGAGCGCGCTACCGTTTGAGCCACATCCCCAGCCCTCAAATTGACTTTAGATGATCAAAATAACTCAGCTGCTGTTTGAGGGTGTTTGCCACAGTTGGCAAAATATGGTTCTGAGCCCCAGTTTTACCTCCTGGGCAAGACTGACATATGATGCTGTCGTTTCTGACCTGAGCTCCACCTCAGTTTCCTGCTAGTGGTCTGCCCAGCCTTGCCCTTGCTGACTTTCATGTCCCTTTGGCTCCCATTTCCTCTCTGCTGGCTACTGGGGGAGAGACCAGGTACACACAGCTGGGACCATGGGGGTCACAACCCCATTGCTGTTGTTGCCTCTCATTCACACTAATCCTTTGTATCTTTAAGTGTTTTAATTGTTGTCAATTGGGTAGGTATGAAATATCTCACTGTTTTAATTTGCATTTCCTTGATTACTGGTGAGTTTCAGGATTTTTCATCCTTTTTTTTTTTTTTTTTTTGGTCATTTGGGTTTCCTCTCATTTACTTTGTAATCTCATCTTGTTTGTTCATCTATTGTCTCATTTTTCTTTTTTGTAGCTTTTTAGAAGTTCTTTAAATATTCTGAATTCTATTTGTGTCCTGTTCTTTATCCTTTAAAAAATTCTCTTTTGATGAATAGATGTTAATTTTAATGTAGTTAAATTAGTCAATCTTTTCCTTATGATTTGTGGTTATTGAGTCTTATTTGAGAAATTTTGTATTACTTCAAAGTTGCAAGATATCCTTTTCCTTAAAAAAAGTTTAAATATTTTCTTTTATATTATGCCTGGAACTTATTTTTGTATGGGGTATGAACTAGAGATCCAGTTGTAGAATTTTTCCAAATTTTCTCCAATTACTTTTATTGAATACCATCCTTTCCCAGTGATCTTCAATACTGCCTTTGAAATGTACCAAATTTCACAAATGTTACGAATCAGTTTCCTGATTCTCTATGTACACAATGATAATTTCTTTCTTCCTAGTCCGTAAGCTGTTATTTATGTTTTATCTTATTTACTTTACTTGCACCACCAAACAAAGTAGTGTAGAAATTGGGTAAGAATATCATTGTATTCTTTTTCACTTGAAAGGCAATCCTATTAAATCCTTAATTGTGAACTTTGCTTTTGTGTTCTGGTAGATTCCTTTTGTTAGGTTATGGATGGTTTCATCTACTAGTAGTTTGATAGAAGCTTTTTTAAAATTCTAGATGGACATAATACCTTTATTTTAC